TTGAAGTCCACAAGTCTTAAACCTGCCAAGTTTGAAGGCCCTTGTTCTAGATGTCTCAACATCTTTTTTATATCACGGTGAACCAAAACTGGATGCAATATTCCAAGTGTGGAATTAATTAATTAATTACTCTATTCATTCATTCATCTATTCATCCATCCATCCACTCATTAAAATTACTGTATAGGCTGCCCATTTCACTGTTCAAAGCGAATCTTGCCTCTTGGGAATCTGAAGGCCAGATAAGGTTGATTTTCAGTGGCAAAAACTATTCCAGCAAACGAAACCCAGTTCTGGTCCACAACGTGGCAGCATTCAGACAAGATGCTTAATCCAGGTCCTGGCTTAAAGTGCGGTCCACTTTCCCAAATTGGCTTGGCCGAAGATCTCGCCAAATGAGCTGCATTGCAACCCAGCCTAAACTAGCCCCGAACTGACCCAGATTAACATTAGCCCAGCGCCAACTCATAAAATATTTCTCTGATCTTTTTAGAGTTGCCAACAGAAAGGGAGGGGGGAGCAGTGCAGCCGCTTGCAAACCGAAACTGCATTCCATAAAGGTTTTCAAAGATAGCAACTAGGTGACTGAAGGTTCTGCCGTGCAAAATTCTAACTGGAGAGCATGATTGATGATTCTTGGCTATGGAGGTGTCCCATTGGAGAATATGGATTACGATACACCCAGGGGGTGGGGGTGGGGAAACCTGGATCAAGGGTGACAATGAATGATGTGTCTCAGAGTCGACTACACCCAGACAGTGCTGGCATGTTAACCCTCAATAAATCCTTTTTGAAGTTTTGGAAGTTTGGCTTGAGACTCATGATTTAAATGGGGGCAACTGCCGGAATCCTGACACCCTGCTTAAACCCTTCAATGAATTGGTTGTGGGAATACAACCCTCTTGTCACAGGGAAGGGGCAGGGTGAGGTGGAGAAAGCGAGTCAGCAAAGCGGGCGTGCAATCGTTGGTTCTTCACCTTTCAGGTGCAAGAATCACCGTCGACCCATCGCCGGATGTCCCCGAAGGCACTCCGGCTAACCTGACCTGTGAGATTGCCAGCCAGGGGGTGGGCCCCATGAATTACACCTGGTTCAAGAACAGCCAGTGGCTTTGGGATAGCCCCGATCCGTCCCTCCTGCTGAGCCGAGTGACCAGGGGTGACACAGGGGCCTACCACTGCCAGGCGACCGGAAGGACCAGCAGTCTGACCTCGGCCATTGTCCTTCTGAAGGTGCACTGTGAGTATCGTGGCTCGAGAACCACTTGTGGGCAATTTCGCCTCTCAGCGACGCCCTGGTGGGACTCCCATTTTTTTTTTTTAACTACTGGTTCTGTAGGCGTGGCTTGGTGGCCGTGGCAGGGGAAGGTTACTGCAAAATCCCCATTCTCTCCCCACGCCACTAACCTGCTTTCCACAACTTCCCGAGGCCAACTCCTGTTCCATGGGTTGATTGTTCTCAGTGTCAGAAAATTCTTCCTTATTTCCAGGTTGAATCTCTCCTTGTTCAGTTTCCATCCATTATTCCTTGTCCGGCCTTGGGAAATATCTAAACCCCTTTTCTCCTCTCTGTGGCAGCCCCTCAAATACTGGAAGGCTGCTGTCCTGTCTGCCCTGGTCCTTCTCTTCCCTAGACTAGCCAGGCCCAGTTCTTGCAACCATTCATCGTATGTTTTAGCCTGCAGGACCCTCATCCTCTGGGTTGCTCTTCTCTGGGGGAACAGAGGTTGGAGGGCACCTGCCAACCAGTAGTGAGATTCAATTGTTTTTACTACTGATTCTGTGGGCGTGGCTTGGTGGGCGTGGTAAGGGAAGGATCTACTGCAAAATCCCCCTTCCCTTCCCTCCCCACTAACCTGCTTTCCAGCTCCGTTCTCCCGTGCAGGGCAACCAAAGGAGACCCAGCCGATCAGCTGTGGGCGTGGCTTGGTGGGTGTGGCGTTCTTTGGCAGGGGAAGGATACTGTAAAATCCCCATTCCCTCCCCACTCCTGGGAGAAGGTTACTGCAAAATCCCCCTTCCCTCCCCACCCCACTAACCTGCTTTCCAGCTCCGTTCTCCTGTGCAGGGCAACCAAAGGAGACCCAGCCGATCAGCTGGGACTCCATGGGAGGCAGAGAAGAGATGGGGGTTGGCGGAGCCAGTCAGAGGCGGGATTGGCCGGTTCTCCCAACTACTCAAAATGGCCGCTACAGGTTCTCCAGAACCGGTCCCAAACTGGCTGAATACCCACCTCTGCAGCGATGGCCATATAAGGAACAGCCCCAAGCAGGCAGATGGCTAATCTGGTCCACAAGCCCGAGGCCAGGAAAGGATCTGTCACAGGGTGGTGGGGGGTCCTTGGTGGTCTCTGAGTTTGGTTCCTTTTGTACAGAGGTTTCATTACCCAACCAGGTGACATCATTAGTACTGGAAGGGAGGGGGGGTTTGTGGAGAAGAGGAGCAAGGGGGGGAGGGGAGAGAAGGGAGGGGGGAGGTAAAAGATTGGATGCCCTCTGAGCTTCGTTACTTCCTTACAGACGTTTGATTACCCAACTAGGTAACGTCATCAGTGGGTTTGCAGAGGCGGGAGAGGAAGGGAAGGGAAGGGAAGGGAGAGGAGGAGGGAGAGGAGAGGAATAGAAAGACCGTGGGGTCCTTGATGCTCTCTGAGCTTGGTTGGGGTGTTTTTTTGCAGACATTTCATCACAGTACCCAACTAGAGAGCATCATCAGGGCTAGAAGGGAATGGAGTTTGCAGGGGTGGGGGAGGAGGAGGAGGAGGAGGAGGAGGAGGAGGAGGAGGAGGAGGAGGAAGAAAGAGACCACGGCATCCTTGGAGCTTTCTGAGCTAGGTGGTTTTCTTACAGACGTTTCATGACCCAACTAGATAACATCATCACGCTAGGAGGAAATAGAGCTTCCTCTTGTTTTATAGATTAGTGGCTTGCCCTGCTGGCGTTGGTGGGAGTGTTCTTGGTGATTCCTTGATTAGGCTGTCATTTACCCTTTGACTGTTTGTCTGAGCTGATAGTTCCTCGATTGGGTTATTTGTTATTGTTTGATTGTTGATCTGGTGTTCATCTCGGCATTAATCTCTGCCTGTGTGGGTGCTGATTGCTGGCACGGTGGTGGTGTGGTCCTTTAGCTTTTTGGTTCTTCACATTCGAATGGCGTGTAAACGTTGTTTATCTCTCTGTGCCTGTTGATGGCTGATTGTTCCGGCTGCTGACCGAGGAAGTTCTGCTTCTTCTTGTTCATGTAGATGCCCCTGAACGCCCCTCCATGAACACTTACCTGGACGTTCAGAACGGGAGGTTGGCTATCATCACCTGCCAAGTGGAGAGCTACCCACCTTCCAATTTGACCATTTCCATGTACAAAGGCGGTCAACACCTGCCTGTCAGCACCAAAGGCTTCTCACCAGCTGGTCAGCGTTTCCACACCTTCTACTCGTATAACAGGCTGAGGCTGGAGATTCGGAACCTCACGGGAAAAGATTCGGGAGATTTTGTGTGTCAAGCTAACAACGTCTGCGGCAATGCAACCAGCAGCATCGCCTTCAATGCAGGAGGTAAGTTGTCTCCCTGAAGAGACAGAGTGGAGACTGAGCGGGAGATGCGTGGTGACTTGGTCTTCTCCAACTTGCCACCTTTGGACTTCAACTTCTAGAATCGCTACCTAAGTCCTGCCAGTTGAGCTGATGCATCGGGGAGAACATGGGTAATCCTCAACTTACAATCATTCATTTAGTGACTGTTCGAAGTTACAACAGCACTGAAAAAAGGTGACTTAAGAACCCTGTCAACTAAAAAGATACTCCGTTGGGTCTTTTTAGCTGCCAGCAGAAAGAGAGTGGGGAAAAACAGTGCATTCCTTAAGTGCCTAGATAACAGATAATCAGAGTTGGAAGGGACCTTATAGGTCATCTAGTCCAACCCCCACACACACCCAAGCGGGAAACCCTACACCATTTCTTACAAGTGGTAGTCCAGTCTCTTCTTGAAAGCCTCAAGTGATGGCACTCCCACAACTTCTGAAGGCAACTTCTGTTCTATGGGTTGATTGTTCTCACTGTCAGAAAGTTTCTCCTTATTTCCAGGTTAAATTTCTCCTTGTTCAGTTTCCATCCATTATGGCCTACAGGCACTTTAGAAAATAGCTTGACCCCTTCCTCCTCTCTGTGGCAGCCCCTCAAATATTGGAAGACTGCTATCCTGTTTCCCCTGGTCCTTCTCTTTACTAGACTAGCCAGGCCCAGTTCCTGCAACCATTCATTGTATGTTTTAGTCCTTAGTCCCCTCATCATCCTGGTTGCTCTTCTCTGCACTTTTTCTAGAGCCTCAACATCTTTTTGATAATGTGGTGACCAAAACTGGATGCAGTACTCTAGGTGTGGTTTTACTAAGGTTTTATAGAGTGGTATTAGTACCTCCCTTGATCTCGACTGTATCGCTCTGTTAATGCAACTTAGGATTGCATTAGCTTTTTTGGCGGCTGCTGCACACTGCTGGCTCATATTTAGCTGGTTGTCCACTAAGAGTCCAAGATCCCCCTCACAGTTACCACTATTAAGCCTGGTTTCACCCAATCTATAATCGCCCTGGCAGCCCAAAGTTGTAGGCACACAAAAATATTACCGGAAAGCATGATTGACGACTCTTGGCTATGGAGGTGTCCCATTGGAGAATATACATCCAGGCGGTGGAGGGGGAAGACCAGAGTCAAGAGAGAAATGAATGATGTATTTTAGTGTCGGCTGCACCCAGCTAACACCAACATGGCCATTCCGAATAAATCAATTGTTTTTTTTAATCTGAGAGATGTAGCTAGAGACTTATGATATGAATGGGGGTGGATTTGTTGGAGCCCTGACAACCCCATGGTTACGTGATCCAAATTCGGGGGCTTGGCAACCGGTTCAGATTTATGACAGTTGCACCATCCTGAGCTTCATTCAATCCCCGTTTGCGACCTTCGGATGAGCAAAGTCAAGGAGGAAGCCAGATTCACTGAACGACCGTATTATTGCTAGCTTAACGGCTGCGGCAAAGAAAGTCATAAAATGGGGGCAAATTCACATGATTTAGCAACAGGAAGGTTGGGGCTCCACTTTGTGGTTGTAAGTCGAGGACCACCTGGGCGTGAGAAATACAGGAACCAGAAGGAAGGAACCTATGTTCCTTCAACCACCTCTCCATCAGTTGGCCAAGAATGAAGGATGTTGGGAGTTGTGATATAAGAACATGTTGAGGTAATTCCCCGTTAGGAGAATGAGCGCATACAGGGAGACGTATTCGAGAGTAGTGTTTGAATAATACACACACAGCACACAGATACACTGTACAGTAAATGTAGGGTTTTTCTTCCAGAAAGGTTTAAGCAAAGTTCAAAACAAACAGTCCAAAGTCATTCACAGGTGAAATCAGTCAGTTTTCAGTCCAGGCATAATCCAATAACGAAGTCTAGTATCAAAAACAGTTCAGTATCAGACGTACATCAAATCCAGGAATATCAAACAATTAGGAGGAATGGCAATACTCTCCAACAGAAGGAAACAGAGACTCACTCAGACACACTCTCTTCTGAGACTAAGACTAAGACAACCCAGGTTTCTGGCTCCATCTTATGGCCGTTTGAAAAACTACACCCAATTACAGCTTTTTGCAGTTTCTTAAAGAGGCAGTATTAAAATGTCTATCCTGGCTTATATATTTCCAACCCAAATAACCGTTAGGTGACTTATAGTCCTAACGGAACAAGTGAAGATCACAGGTTCTTCACCTCTCTCCCTAAAGCGAAGTGGAGTCCACCAGGAATTCTGAGACCTTCATTTCCAAAACCTCTGGAGGCAGCAAAATACTTCCAGGCCTGCTTGGACCTTCCTGGAAGTGGATCCACTGTCCAGTAGGAAATTGTCCCAAACAACCGTTTGCTTAGAAGAACTTAGGAAAGACACTGAGACTCTAGAAAGAGTGCAGAGAAGAGCCACAAAGATGATTAGGAGGCCGCAGGTTAAAACATACGAAGAACGGTTGCAGTTCATTCTCGTCTAATGAAAAGAAGGACTTGGGGTGACAGGATAGCAGTCTTTCAATATTTGAGGGGCTGCCCCAAAGAGGGGAGGGTCCAGAGGGGATATTCAGCTGGTTCTGACCGGTCCTGGAGAACCGGTAGCGAAAATTTTGAATAGTTCAGAGAACCAGCCAATCCCACCTCCGAATGGCCCCGCCAACCCCATCTCTTCTCCACATCCCGAGTCCCAGCTGATTGGCTGGGGGTCCTTTGGTTGCCCTGCACAGGAGAACGGAGCTGGAAAGCAGGTGAGTGGGGTGGGGAGGGAAGGGAGATTTTGCAGTCACCTTCCCCTGCCACGCCCACCAAGCCACACCCCCACAGAGCCGGTAGTAAAAAAAAATCGAATCCCACCACTACCAGGGTCAGCTTAACTTCCAAAGCACCCGAAGGCCAGAGAAGAAGCAATGGATGCAAACTAACCAAAGAGAGAAGCAACTTGGAATTAAGGAGGAATTTCCTGACATTGAGAACAATTAGCCAGTGGAATGGCTTGCCACCAGAAGTTGTGGGTTTTTAAGAAGAGATCGAACGACCATTTGTCTGAAATGGTATTATAGGGTTTCCTGCCTTAGCTGGAGGTTGGACTAGAAGACCTCCAAGGTCTCTTCCAACTCTGTTATTCTGTTAAAGACCCCACCATCTCTCTCTCTCTCTCTCTCCTCTTTGCCTGCAGTGATCTCTGAACTGACCATCTACAAGATTTTGACTTGGATAGCCTTTGCCGTGATCATCATAGCTGCTCTGATCGTCGTCCTGATCTTTGGCGTGCAACAGAACAGCTCCCGGTGAGACTTGGCCGAGGGGGGGGGGGGGGGGCATTGAGAAATCCAGCACTGGGTTGGCTCTCCTCTAGGCCGACAGTCAGGTTATCTATACCCATAGAGGTAATCCTTGAATTACGACCAGTTGGCATGCTGTAGTCCATGGGGTTGTGAAGAGTCTTCCTCCTTTAGGGCAGGGGTCTCCAAATTTGGCAACTTTATGACTTGCGGACTTTAACTCCCAGAATTCCCCATTCCTCCTCCTCCTCCACCTCCACCTCCTCTTGCAAATCTCACTCCCTTCTAGCACTGATCAGTTAGTTTGGTCATGAAACGTCTGCAAGAAAGCCACCAAGCTTAGAGACCACCAAGGACCTCCTCCTCCTCCTGCTCCTCCTCCTCCTCCTCCTCCTCCTCCTCTTGCAAACCTCACTCCCTTCTAGCACTGATAATCATACCTAGTTTGGTCATGAAACGTCTGCAAGAAAGCCACCAAGCTTAGAGACCACCAAGGACC